AAGAGGTATGGCCATGCCCGGCTGCTCCGAGATTGGTACTTGCGGAGCAGATGGCGATGGGTCTATGCAATGCCATCCAGACTACCTGGGCCCAGGCCAAAAGGGCTTTCAGCAGAAATCAGGAATCCTGATCCCCAAATCCTGCCCTGCAACTTTTGCCCTGGAGAAACATTGTCTAGTCGTCTGCTTGGTCCCTCCCCTGGCAAAGGCAGGATGTTTTCCAGCATCAGCGGATTTTCTTTAGATACAAGTGAATCCCATTCTTGGAGCGAAGGATGATTTGAGGTATTTTGCAGGGAGGCTTCGCAGGGTCAGGTGAGAGCTCGAAGCGGAGCAGGGTCAGGGCCAGTGCCACCTTCATCTCATTCATGGCAAACTGCTGCCCGATGCAGTTCCTGGGGTAAAACAGCATCTCAGCCACTCCATCTCAGTGCTGGGCACAGCAAAGCTCTGCAGTCAGACCCCAGCCCTCTCACATCAGCACACAATCCTTCCCCTCTGCAGCTCTGGGGACCCCAGGCAGTGCTTTGGATAGCAAAAGCAGGGTCATGGACTGAGCAGGGGGAATCCGGGGAAGTACCGGGAGCTCCTGGATGTGTGTTCAATGAGCATGGAGAGGGAGGGGAGATGGGGAAGCCAAATGAGAGGCCAGCAGAGCTGAGGCGGTAGGTCTCAAAGCAGGAGGGTATGTAACGTGTTTGCCTTGGTGGGGTGAGCACAGGGCAAAGGGAAGTATTGGGAGCAGGGGAGAAGGGGGAATCAAAGGGTGGCGGGGTAGAATGGGGTTTCTGCATCAAGGAAAGGAGGAGAGGAGGTGAGCCCAGGATGCTGCAGGCTCCCTGCATGGTGCCAGCAGGATGCTCCACAGCTCTGGGATCCAGTTCCCTGTCCCCAGGAGGGGCCTGGTGATGTTGCCTTCCCATTTTGCCTGCTCGTACCAGAACCCCTCTGCGGCACAAATGCTTGTTATATGCTCGTGAACTGTTTAATGCTGCAGGGCCAAGACTTCAGGCAGAGGTTTCTGAAGGCACTCTGTGAGTGCTTCCCCAACAGCAATTATAACAGCAGCACACGCTTCTTGGGCTGAGCAGTTTCCAGGGATGCATGTTTTCTCTCCCCATATCTCCTTCAGTGTTCAATACACTTTACCTCATTCCAGCAGAAAAAGGCAGAAAGGCGTGAGAATGTCTGCCAGTGACATTCTCCGGGGAAAACCTCAAAGGGTCAAACACCTGGAAAGGAAGAATACACATTAAGGAAAAGTGATTATTTAAGGAACACAGTACTGACCAGTATCTTCAGAAACGTGACACCTCATAATTTCTGAACAACCCCAATGGAGAGAGAATTCATTTTGAGATGGACTGACACTCATACACCAGACTCCCTTGCTTTCCACTGAGCCTGGCAATAGTGTTGCCAAGATAAACCAGACATAGATAAGATGAAAAGCAGGGAGCCGGGATTCATTTATCCACCTGTAGGCTAGGCAAAAATCATCTTTTTGCCTGTTAATACAAGCAGCTCTTCAGAGCACTTTGTCTTACTGTTTGGGCAGCATCCAGCCCTAATGTTGCTGTCTGACAGCCCCATGCTACAGCTGGCCGAGACTAACGCAAGGCGATCGCTTCTCAGCGTGATTCCCGTGGGCAAAGATGTTCAGAAGCAAGGGGGGTCTCGGTTCTCCTGCTAACAGCTGAAGGGGACATTGGAAGAGGCACAGGATAAAGGGGAAAAATTATTAGAAGGGCAAAAGAAAACTCACCAAAGGGTCTTTCCATACTGCAGGGTTTCTGTGAATGAGATAAATGCTTATTGCGGCGATGCTGCCTGTAAAGCAATCGAGGAGAAAAAGGCTCAGTGACAAAGAAACTAAAGGGAAGGTTATAGCATGCTCACACAAAGGTCTGTCTAAATCATCATGGTCTTATCTGTCAACTGGAAACCTATGAGGGTTTTCTCATTGGCTTCAGGGCAAACTTAACATTTTCCATTTATTTAGTTGTAAGCAGCCAAAGAGTGGAAATGAGGAAGGCATCGGTACCGTAGGCACATCATCCCCCCACCAACACTGCCCGCTTGTGTGACAAAACAGAGAAGGAAATTTGCAGCACAGGGCAACTCCCATGCCACAAGTTGGGATGGGACCAGTCCATGTGCTCCTGTGCCTGCAGTTTGCCAAAAAGGGGGAACCATGAGCTTGTGCTTGGCCAGGAAGAGAAGGGGCTTTTGGCACAGGCACGGCTGTCCTATAGCGATGGTGGCAGGAAGGATGTCATGGGGATGCTGCTGTACAGCTCAGATCTCGGTCTATCAAAGGGATACCAACATCTGCATGGTCCCATCCCATCTGCACGGTCCCATTCGAACGTCTGTGCCAGCGAGGAGCAGGTCACAGAGGCAGGGCTGTCGGCTTTGCTCTGCGGCAGACAGCCAGGATGCGGCTGATGTCCGAGAGCACAATTTTGTGAAGCAGGAATAGGAATAGGATTTACAGACCTTCTGGCAAAGTGCGTCCATCGGGGAAGGTGATGGGTTTGCTGAGCTGCCGGGACACGCCGGGTACTGGTGGGTAAAGGCGAAGGCTCTCCTTGATGCACATGGTGCTGTAAGTCATCTTGCCCAGGTCCTCCCTGTTGGGACAGAGGTAGGCTGAGCCCCACACTCCCCCCCTGCCCTTGCCCCTTGTCCCATGGGCAGACCCCCTTGCAACTGATGGGGCATACAGAGGGACTTGCAAAGTCCCACCACAGGCTGCTGCAAGCTGGGATCCCAGGACAGCTCTGAACAACCTTAACAACCTCTGAACAAGCTTGAGTGCAAAGTGACTGTGAAAGGTGAAAAGCTATGAGTACAATGTCCTGTGGCGAGAAAACAGGAGAGAGAAAGAGTAATGGTGATGGCCCAGGTCTTGGCACGGCATCCAGCATGTCCCTCCTGGTCTGGTGTCGTTTTTCTTGTGTCTTCCCTGGTAATACGAAGAGAAGGGAGGCAGATCTAGCTGAAAGACGCAGTATCTGCTCCATTCTATGAAGTTCCTGTGCATGCAGCAACTTTTACCACCCCAGCTTTCAAGCCTTGAAAACATTGCTCACTTAGAAATGGCAACAATGGGAAAAAAGTCACCAGCTGAGGAAATGCGCAACCTTACCACTGAAGCGTCTCCCGGTGCCCCAGAATCCCCTGGATCTCCTCCCGGCACCGTGCCTGGTGCTCAGGGTGTGACGCCAGGCAGTACAAGAGCCAGGAGATCCCGCTGGCCGTTGTATCGTGGCCCTCAAACATGAACGTGTCTACCTCGGCACGCAGGTCCTCATCAGATAGTCCAGCTCCATTCTCATCCTAACAGACCAGAGACACTTTCAGTGGCCCGTATATATAAAAATACTATATACAATATATATAAAACACAATAGAGATAGTACAGATAATATAGATGAGATATATATATATTATAGTGGTCCAGATATATATATAAAAAATATAATATCCCAGGAAGGGACCATTATATTCTTTCAGCTACTGCAAAGGGGCATGGTGATGCCCCTGGGATATGTACAAACAAAATCAATCTCCATTTAGACTCAATTCAGGACCCCTCTATACCCTCCATATTAAACCACCAGGACTATGAAATCCCTTTGCATGTTGTATTACCCAACAGATACTACCAACGTTTCATGATGCAGAATCAGATCACCTTGGCCCCTCCTCAACTGGGCAAGACTGGGCTAATTTATTTTAATGGCTTGTGCAGTCTTGAGCGTCTCTGGTGGTTTGTGGCATCCCTGCAAAGACTGACTGGCTTTTGCACCCTGCTGCACTCCTCGCCACTCACTTTGGCGCACAGTAGAATGTCCAAGAAGTCCAAATGTCTCTTATTCTGGATCTTTTCAAATTCTCGTTCATCTTTAAGGGACTCCTTTCGCTCATGGATCACCTTGTCTGGGGAAGAAAGAGTTGGAGATTCAGCAAGGACAGGAGATGCTGAGCTGCAAAAATTGCCCCTCGAATGCAAAGTTTACCCAAGGGGATGGCCATCTCTCAGTCCACAATGCATTTGACATATGTGCTTCTGTAGACTGGGCAGTTTGGCTTTATCAGCAGCACGGCAACAAATGCCGTGCACATTGTCATCCTTTTCTACAAACTTCTTTGTCCACCACAGATTCCTCAGCCTATTTTACCCACCCCTCCTGCATTAAAATCACACCTGGTCTGGAAAGGAAAATCATTCCTTGCATCGGTATTGCCTGCAGTGCCCATCCCTTGTCTCACCAGTCTCTGGTCATTTAACAGGAGCTTTCCCAGAGGGGAATTCCTCCGTTAGTCCTGTTTAATAACCCAGGAGCTGTCAGACCCCCTTGCTTCATGCCTAGATCAGACCAGTGCTGCAAGCTGATGTTCTGGTTGGATCCCAGCTCCAAGCCTCTGGGCAGGATCACTGCATGGGCAAGGGAGTCACTCAACTGCCTCCGGTCAGCCATCACTCACCCTGTTTGAAAGCTTTGGGAGAGGATGAAGGCAGGGAATACCTGTATGGTCGTGAGCGAGCTGGCAGATCTTCCTGAACCGAAATCCGTGAGGGCTGAGCCAGTAAATGATGTCATTGTGGTAGGGGAAGATGCGGAGGCGCTGGTGTACCATGTGGCATAGGTTGTAGACAGCCTGGATGTAGGTGTTTTTCCTGGGGAGAGGGGAACGGTGGAAGTTTGTAAATTTGGGAGCATCATGACAAGCAATTTGCCCATTTCCTTTCTGAGCTGCAAACTTTCTGCCAGGGTTTAGGGCAGCCAGCACTGACCTGTTGGTCTGGCAGTTGCTGTGACAACTGAAGGCACATTTCATGATGCTGTCGAGAGTCATCAAGCTGACGTGTTCAAAGAGCTCCACTGGTTTCCCATCTGTGATCAGCTGTTCCCATTTATCCTAGGGCACAAAGGAGACAGAAATGAGAAGGCAAGGGACAGTTCTGCATGATCTGTAGTTACCCTCTGATAAAATGAGTGCTCAGCTAGGGATATATCCCTGAGAAATGGAAAAAAGAAAAAGATCTTTTAGTTGCCATCAAAATCCTGGAGAAGGGAAGCCAAGAGCAGTATGGTTCACACAAGATTTGCCTCAGGCAGCTGCTACTCTTGAATCCTGGCAGCGGTGAGCCCTGGTACACCCTACCCTGGGGCAAGGGCACCCTGGAGAAGCCCAGGACGGTGGCATTGCTGGGTGATGGGGCATGAGGTTCAGGTTGGATATCAGGAAGAATTTCTTCACTGTAAGAGTCACTAAGCATTGGAATGGGCTCCCCAGGGTGGTGGTGGACTCACCATCCCTGGAGGTGTTCAAAAAATATTGAGACGTGGCACTTCAAGACATGGCTTAGTGGGTTTAGTGGGCATGGTGGCATTGGGTAGATGGTTGGACTTGATGACCTTTGAGGTCTCTTCCAACCATAATGATTCTATGATTCTATGTTACCAAACTCTTTCTTAGGGTGCAGTGTGTTTCCTGCACAAGAGCAGCGTATGTTGGCATTGGGCTTCACCGAGTCTCTTCTCAAGCACACATGATTTTGGTGCCTAAGATCCAAACTTCTGACCAAGGTTTTTCCTCCATCCCACGATCTCTCTGTCACTGTGTTTTTCCAGCATATAATACAGCAGCTCTTGCTCAACTCTTCCCATAGGAGATCCCTAGAGAAACTGTAAATAGTGTCTCTTTTGCCTAGCAGACATGAAATGATGTTGAACCCTCTGTCCCTTCGTGGCAGTGGACTCAAAAGCTGAGAAAGGGAGAAGATGGAGCAGCACAGTCACATCCGAGCTCCCACAGCATGAAACCAGGCTGTGTAACAGGGCTTACATGGACAGACTCATGTCCTTAGCGCATACAATGATTGCCACCTGCTGGCACGGGCTCCACAATAGGCACTTTGCATTCTCTGCAAGGAATTATAAACTGCCAGGCACTTGTGTGCATTGCAAAAGCTCTCCTGGCTCTCTGGCCCCCTGCTCCTGGCTGCTCCCTGGGCCAGTGGGAGGAAGGACGGTCAGGATCCATGGGGAGCTGCTGGGGAGGCTGGATGGAGGAAAGCAAAGGAGAAGGAATAAATCTGGCACCCAGACTCCTGCCCGTCCACATGCACAAAGCCTGGTGCCCCTCACCTGTAATTCACACTGGTTTCCATCGCGCCCAGCACCGATGGATGGAAGAGCAGTGCAGTTTCACTGGGTATTAGGCAAGGCAGGGATTGCAATCCAGTCGTGAGTACGTCAACAGCAAATTATACCCTTTAACCTTAAGTCACAGTATAGCTCTGCTCCAACCTTTATATTTTCAGGATTTATTATGAAGCTTTATTTACTTCAATTCTTCATTTACCAAAACACCTTATAAGAAGCTGCAGTTGGGATTGAGATTATGCATAGTTTGGAGATGGCAGTATGTGCTGGTTTTGGCTGGGGTAGAGTTAATTTTCTTCCCAGTAGCTGGTATGCGGCTGTGTTTTGGATTTGTGCTGGCAACAGCGTTGATAACACAGAGATGTTTTAGATGCTGCTGAGCAGGGTTTACACAGAGTCAAGGCGTTTTCTGCCTGTCACCCCACCCCACCAGTGAGTGGGCTGGGGGTGCACAAGGAGTTGGGAGGGGACACAGCTGGGACAGCTGAGCCCAACTGACCAAAGGGATATTCCCTACCATATGATGTCATGCTCAGCACATAAAGCTGGAGGAAGAAGGAAAGGAAGGACGTTTGGAGTGATGGCATTTGTCTTCCCAAGTAACGGTTACGCGTGATGGAGCCCTGCTTTCCTGGGGATGGCTGAACACACGCCTGCCCATGGGGAGTGGTGAATGAATTCCTTGGTTTGCTTTGCTTTGCTTGAATGTGCAGCTTTTTCTTTACCTATTAAACTGTCTTTATCTCAACCCACGAGTTTTCTCACTTTTACCCTTCCGATTCTCTCCCTCATCACACTTGCGGGGAGTGAGGGAGCAGCTGTGTGGGGCTTAGTTGCCGGCTGGGATTAAACCACAACACAGTAACATTAATTCTCAAATCTTAGCCACAGAGCCCAAAGCAGTACCAGAGACATAGTCCCTGCAAGGAGACTCAACCTGCTCATTCCTTCCAACTCACAGGCAGGGATTTGTGGTGACTAAGAAAGCTTGACCGCCAGGACACAGCCTGTCCTTACAATTAGCAGGTTGTGAGTAAGGGCACTGCAAGAAGACTCTGCTCCAGCATTCACCTACTAACCAGTCAGGATCAGGGAAAAGAAAACAGGGCAGAGAGAGGAGCATCAGATATGAGTCCTACCAGCATCACGTTAGTAGACTCTGCCATCAGGGCCACGTACGGTTTCAAGACGTCATAATGAAATCCCGGAGTCAGGAGTTTTCGATGTTGGTGCCATTTTGGCCCATGTAAGATCAGCAACCCGTTCCCTGGGGAAACACAGGCAAGGCATGTTTTGCTGGGCACAGGCAGGCTGCTTTCACCTGCCCATGGACACAGCCTCCGTCTGCAAGGAGCATGATTAAATCTGCTGTCTGAGCTGCTATGAGAGAGTATTTCCAAATGTTGCCATCAGCTCCAGGGTTCCCAGGGCTGAGCAGAGCCCTGCTCACTGAAACGACCCAGTGCTGTGTCCAAAAAGAAACACCAACACTGCTGGAGCTGAGAAGTTCAGATCAGCAGATGCATTTTTCACTGATTCTCCCCTGAAACTCAGTTTCTCTCATCACCACCCTTTGCTACCTATGGACATGTAAGTGGTTCTCATTTGTACATATGACTATGTCTGAACTTTCTTTCCTCAATCACAAAAAATAGCATTATTTAGCACCTTTTTCAATAAGTGTAACAATATCAGAAAGCTTTTAGCTATAACTGCATCAAGGAACAAGCACAATCTGTTTATTTCTAGCATGTTATTGACTAACTTCAGAATCATTCCTAGTAGGCAAAGCCCTGGGAATACATACCGATCCATGGGACAAGGTGTTTATAGCTGATGTTATCCTTGGGATCTGTAAAAAAATCACCAAGAAAGAGAAAATAAAATAGTAAATGTTTCAGTAGCATCAACCCACTGGTTTGCACCTGAAAGCTTCCTCTGGGCTCTCACTTTTGTTTGGGTATGAAGCAGAATCGGTGGCATCCCTGCAGAATTCACCAGTATTTCACAGCAAAACACTGTCTGGCCTAGCTGCAAGAAACATGCATAAAAGTAGATGCCCAGACCAGAAAAAAAAAGAATACTGGTAGTCCAAAGTCTGTGCTGCGTGATAAATGATTAACCCTCCCACACAGCACTGTTTAACACCTTTCTCTCTTGATGCACTAAAGATACTTCTCTGCAGTAGGAGACAGGGCTTTGAGCTGAGAAAAAATCTCCCAGATATCTTCAACTTGCTGGGGTCAGGCACCAAGAAGATAACTTTTCACAGAGCACTTGAGGAAGTTTGATTTGCCAGCAATTGATTTGGAGGAGCCCCGGTCAGCCCCCCAGCCCTGTGCCTGAAGCACCCAGGACACGGCATGACAGAGGGGTATCTTTCCATGCCTTTAGATGATTTCTGCAAGGTAACCTCTCTGTGAAACCCTGCCTTGCTCTGAATTTTTAGTCTGGTATGGGAAATCTGCAGGCTGTGGTTGTTGCTCCACAGCTGAAGGCATCATCTCCTCACCTGCTCTGGCCAACAGAGCCTTGGCATAGTCGGGATCGGTGACAACCAGGAATGCTGAGAAACTCCCGAACCAGAGAGGGTGAGCGTATAGGTACTTCTGTGCCCAGATCTCCACCTTGTCCAGCACCTCTTCCTCCGTGAGAAACTAATTGTGGAGAAGTAAAAAGAGAAAGAATACATAGATTCAGATAAAAAATAAATAATCTCCCAATACACTATCTTAAAAAGCCCAAGGTCTTTCTGCATCACGAAACCAAATAACAGCAAAACAAGGTGTTGTCCCTCTGGGTTTGCAGAGCATGCAAAGTAGAGATGTTTGTTACTTTTATACTTCATATAAAATAATTCTTCCTTATCACTTGACCCTAACCACGGAGAACAGCCTTAGGGACAGTGGTGCTGCCTATCAGTGCACGTACGTCATCTGCTCTTTTTCCATGGACACTCCAAAGAAGACTCAGATTTGCCTCACACAGCATCTGCATTCTGTGGTGCACAAACATGTTCTCACTGGCACATGGCTGAGCAATTAGCACCCTGAGGTCATGAGAAAATACAGCAGCACTTTTACGGCAGCCGATGGCATCACTGCTGCATCTGCCCCGGTGCAGCGATGCCTCCTGACCGGGAAACGTAAGCCACAGCTTCCTCCAGCCATTTAGGTGGAGAAGGCCAGTGTCCAGGTAAAATTCAACAGAATAAATCCAAAGTCACCAAAGGAGTGTACAGAGGAGAGGACGTTGGTTAATAATGTTAGATTGAGGTTTCATTGATTTCCAGGAATTTAATTTAATAGGCGATGAAGAGCTGGTGCTCCCAGAAAGGTTCATCTCCAGTCCTTGGAAGCTGCATTCTGAGGAGTAATATGAGCGCCACTGTTTGCATTGGCAGCACTGGCAGGTTCACTCTTCAAAAGTGATCACTGTTTTATTGCTTTTACAACCAGTATTGTTGTATATTAAACAGGCAACAGCCAAAGAACAAGCAGAAAGATCTGTGGAAAGATCCAAAATCACAGGCAGAGAAAAAAGATCACAGAGACAAAACCATGTAAGATTTCTCTTTTCTTTGAACAGAAACCACTTTGCCACAATATGCAGGGGGAAGGATTTTGATGAGTTAGGGCTGACATAGCTGCTGCTGCTTTGACTTGAAGCTTGAAGTTTCATTACATCTGCCTACTGGTGCAGAAATCAGCCACCAAGACACCCTATTGACTGAGTCAAGTGAATATTTGCTCAATTGCTTTGGTGCTGAGTTACTTCAGTTCAGCTTTTAGTTTGGCTAGTGTTTCTCAACCTGGGAGATGGTTTGTACTCAAATAATAACCCATGTCAGGCTTGGCTTGGAGACAATGCTCAGGAGCCGTGGGGAGTCTGCTGGGGACTACACAGGCTGTGTCGGGGCACATCCAGGCTCTGTGCTCCACGGCTGAGTCCCCTTCCTAGTGAGCCGGCATGGTCCCTGCAGCACATCCCCTGTGTCTCCCACATTCAGCAGAATGATGAACTACATCCAGTTATCATTTACGACAGAAAGTTATTCTTCAACTTCTCTTGCTCAAGTTCAAGATTTCGGACTTAGTAAAGAGAACTACCAATTTCTCTGGTTGCAGGGATCAAGTTTTGGGGTAAAAGGAGGCAGCTCTCCTCAGTACCCATCCCTTTGGCAACGCCAGCAGATGCGGGGCTTGGCACTGTGCCTTTAGCAGCATGATACTTGACCATGTGAAAGTCCTTTTGATATGGCTGTTTGTGCTTCCTCCCATCACAAAATTACAGAAAGCATAATTGGGAGATGCTGAGCAAGCCTCACTGGTAGAAGCCCTGATGCCAGAAGCCTTTGCATTCAACCTTGATTTTGGAGCACTGGCCTCGGTTTGTGTTATCAAGAACTATGCCTGTGCTGGCAGAGGGTGGGATGGGTTTATCTGAGAGGAGGGGGTCACCCCCAAGGTGAATAACCTCTACCTGCTGTGCCAAGCACTCCCGGGGCAGAGAGTGTAAAGTCCTGCGGGCTGCAGAGGAACAGGAACAGGAAGCTCCTGCTTCTTAACCAGCACTCCGGCTACCGGGCTCTGCATGAAAGACCATCACTTCTTACTTCTTCCTCCCTTGGGGGCTTGAAAGGCACAGTATAACCCCTGCTCGGGTATAAGGAAGAAAGATAATAGCCTGATCTCATGCTGAAATGCAAGTTTTGAAATGGATCCAACACTAAAAGCACCTGGGAAGAGGTGCTTTTAATGACTACGCATCAATAGCAAATGAAACAGAAAATACAGCAGCAGAAATCTGAGTATGAAGCTGCTCTGTCCTCAGTCAGAGCCAGGCTGGCTCCCCTCCACCAGCCGCCCGCACAGGGCAGATGCAGGCAAAGGGCTGCTGAGGGACCGACAGCCCTCTACGCCCGTGGAGCAGCGACCCTGCTCTCCTCTGCTTCCCTCCAACCGTGGCCATGGGAAGTTGGTTTGGCCAGCTCGGGGCTGGCACTCTGGATTTTAACTAAGTTGTGCTGCTGCAGTGAGACTGAACAGCTCTACACAACCTCTCCCCGTATTTTAATATAATTTCTACCGAGTGATTTGGATAAGCAGAGACTAATACCTAAGAATGCTTTAAAACAAAGTGATGTATTTCCAGGAGATCCACCCAAAGCATGACAAATATATTTGAGATACTAAACCGACCTGAATTAAAACTGGCAATTAATCATTTTAAATCAACAGAGTAAGAAATGCCATTGCTCTCCCTGAATACAGCTCTCAGGTCCTCCTCCGAGGTGCGTGTAAGCTTTGTATTCAGCATGTGCCCAAAGCATTGCCAGTTCCCTCACTGGCTGAATGAACTGTTGGGCTATGAAGAATTCAGCAGTATTTAATCAGCAAATGATTAAATCTGCAAAACACGAATTCTTCAAAAAATACTGTCCAAGGTGAAAGCTGAGCCGTGAACAACCTAGTCATGATGGGAGTCAGTGATTGGCACAAACTGTTAAATCCCATTCCAGGATAGTCACAACTGACAAACAAGTGAACGTAGTTTATTTAATTGCAGTTTTAAAGTCTAACTGGCAGCGCAACAAAGCCCTGAACTGGCCCATCTTCGTGCTTACATTGCCAAAAGACTGCCTGTCCCAACCAGTGCAGCAAAACTGGGGCTGCCACAGCATAGGGACAAGTCCTAGGAAGTCCCCTCCAGATTTCTCAGCTACTTTTCAGGATGCCAGTTATTTAATGGGCCACAGATTTGGCCAGAGCAGGGCATCAGCAGAGCCCAGGAGAGGTCAGGGTGAATTGAAGCAGCCTTTAGCATGTATGGAAAAGCCTTTGTCATCAGGCAGTTCAGTTACTCCTCACAAAGCTGCCAATCAGTGGTGCAAATCTGTTTGCCAAGGCAGCCAGCCATGCCAACATGTGCAGGCAGGTGCATACCTTGGGGAATAGTCATCCACGCCACGAGTGCCCAGAACAAGGCTTGCTTGTACGTGGGTTTAGTTAGTCATGGCTTTAATGCAACCTTAAAAAGATCTATGACCCCTGTGCCGGATGCTACAGCTGGATGTGTTTTGTGGCTTAAACATGACTTACAATGATCAATGCCCTGTCTGGCTCACATGGCTGTAAAGTCAGTGCAAGCTGGCAAGGGAGAGAAGGTGCTTCCAGATGCTGGGAGCAGCGTGCATCTGCTCAGCACCACAGGGACAGCCACAGCGACCGTGCCCTGACTGTCACAGGAGCAGAGAGGTGACAGCAGAGTCTGTCCCAGGACAGAGCAGCACAGTTCTGCTGCCTCTAGCACCAATGCTGGGCTACACCCCGGGATGACCTTGCCCACGCCACATTATATTTTCTTGACCTGCAAGCCAGCTACCACCTATTTCCACCGTGCATTTTGCAGCAGCCTGCATGTGCTGTTCTCTGGGCATCACAAGCAGAGAAAGCAGTTTGCACAGCTGAGAAAAAAGGATGCCCACCTTTCCCTCACCTCGGGGACTAGGAGAAGCAATTCTCCTGGACCACAGGAGCAAGTCCCAGCAGCACCATTCCCCCCCGGCAGTGCAGCCCCGGCTCTCGCCCTACCTCACGGACGTGGCCGAAGAGCCAGTGGGTCGGGTGGCCGGGGAAGTCGGCCAGCGCCCTGAGCAGCTCCCGCCGGCGGTGGTACAGCGGGATGGCCTTCAGCAGCACGCAGGTCAGGCAGAAGACAGCAGCCAAATGCAACACCCGGGAGACATCCACGCCCAGCCAGGAGAGCTTCATCTCCCATCCACCGGCGAAGACAGCGACCGGC